AAGATGATGACCTACCTGTTCTGACTGACCTTGACAACCTATTTGATAGAGAAGATGATGACCTACCTGTTCTGACTGACCTTGACAACCTACTTGATAGAGAAGATGATGACCCACCTTTTCTGGTTGACCTTGAAAACCTTTATTATAGAAAAGAGGATGACCTACCTGTTCTGACTGACCTTGACAACCTATTTGATAGAGAAGATGATGACCTTCCTGTTCTGACTGACCTTGACAACCTATATTATAGAGAAGATGATGACCTACCTGTTCTGACTGACCTTGACAATCTATTTGATAGAGAGAGAAGATGATGACCTTCCTGTTCTGACTGACCTTGACAACCTTACTGACATTGACAACCTATTTGATAGAGAAGATGATGACCTACCTGTTCTGCCTCAAACTCGCTGACCTGTAGAACCTGTTCAGGAGTAAGGATGACAAACTGTTTCCTGTTTGTAATGGGTGTTACTTGGTTGGATTTGTATAGATGGTAAACTAGTATGAGTGGCAGCCCCACACCTGTTACATACATCAACACATACATCATTTTTTTCCATCTTGGCAAATCCTTGAACCACTGTCGATAAACCCTGTAAAAGAATGATACCAGAATAACTACAGAGGAAGATTAAAGTAAATTATTTCATGACAAGAGCTTATAAGATACAAAATAGTTTCAAAACAATGAGTATTCAGTTTTTAAACATCTTTTTGTATAATCTAAAGTGAAGAAAAAAGTATGTCCCTTGTAACTTTTGAAATCTATAAAACCTGCTTCAATGCAGAAGTTGTCATTTTTTTTTCAAGTAATGTTAAGGCAGATCAAGATCTGAAGTTTGTTTGTGCCATGTGTAAAGAAAGTATTAAAATAAAATTTTCTGTAAACTACCAATCATGCACTTTTCTATATTTTTTTCTTTTTTACATTATTGGCAAAATAAATACTTTCTACAGTCTTAGGAAATAGTATTTCACCTTGGAGGACCATACATTTTCTATATCCCTCATACTCATTCTATAACTGTATATTTTTCAGTGATACGAGGATCCTTCAATATTGTGCAGACCTACCTGGAGGTAATAACTGTTAAAATCTTTAAAGCTGGCTTTAAAAGCACCCAAAAAAGAGGATAAATTGCCCGGTGTTGTTGGCTGGTGCGGAACCCACATATATGCTGAATCAAAGGTTGACTTTTGGGCTTCACTCTGTGCTTCCCACATTGACTGATGTGTGTTGTAAGGAGAGATTTATTCAAAGTGACTAGAGGACGTCCAACATGTAGGGTTGTTCGACCAGGACAGGATGTAACTTTCACACTTTTTAACAGCTTTGATGGTAAACATCTGAAATTGAAGAATTTTATTATTACAAGTATGTGTAAGGTGACAGTACCCAAATTGGATCACCAAACAATCATTTTCTTTATTCATTGAAAATGCAGGAGATCAATTAAATTAGTTTATGGTTGTATCAAAAGAAGAATATTGATGGGTGTTCTTACCAATGAAATAAACACTGAGGCCTCACGTGAGATATTTATAGTAATCTCATCAATTAGAGTCTCTGATTTTTTGCAATGTCGGTACACAAAAAGGATCACAGCTTAAATTTTGCAATATTTTGTGCTTCAAATGAACGTTTCTCTCTCAGCATTTCAACATTTTATGATGATCTTTTGAATATTAATAAGAAAAGTATTTCTACATTGTGACTTTATTTGGGTTAATTCCTATAGTCCGAACAAGACAAACAGTCTCGCACATGCCTATTGAACTTAAAAGTTGATCATCAGTAGACTTAAAATGATGCACAACAATGTGTTTTAAGGATAAATTATTGTAATAACTTAACTGTTGATACATTCATTGACTTTTAAGTATTTTTGCAAAGAGTGATCCGATATATGCGTCTTGCCTTAAGCTTCTTATAACTAGATTTAACTGGAAGACTGGATTTGAACTTTCACATCTACCTGGACAATATAAATATCTGTTCTTTTACAACAACTCAAATACTCTACACAAACGCTATGATAAATCTTTCAACTGAGAACTGTTTCATGTTATATATCCATTGTATGTAATTAAATGATGGAGATAGTCAAAACATACAATGAGGTCAAGGTAAGGCCAGTATCATCCTATAATGTACCTATAATATCCATATATAGAGAACACTTTATCTGCCTTCTGCAATTAACAGTAAATATATCTACTTATGTTAATTTAGACTTAATACTTGTCAATTTCCCAAGGCAGTGTAGTGGAACTGGACTGAGGCATTTGATGGCGACCAGGTCGCTCATTTGGTAATGTGTTTGTCTAAAGTTTGGAGGTCCTGGGTTTGAATCTCAGTCTGGTCGTGCATTTTTTATTCTCCTTTTACATAGGTGGCTTGTAATGACCAACTCTTGTTCAAGTACTTGGTGTTGTCGCCATGCAAGGGAGGGATACACCAAACCTAGGTTGTACATAATTTTGTGTTTGAAGGGGACGGACTTAGAAAAAAGGAGGGAGGAGTTTTGCAGAACTGGACAAGGTTGATCACCAGGTTGCTTCTGGTGATGAGAGACTTTTTATATATATTGTGTATGGACAGAGGAGGCCAGGTATAAATATTAGTACTAATCACCAGGTAGCTCAATTAATCTGTTAAAGCGTCTATCTAGAGGTCAGAGGTCCCGGGTTTGAATCCTGGATTGGCTGTGCATTTGTCCTCAAAAGCAGTTATTATCAGGTTTTTTGTTGTTGTTGCAGTCACTACAGAGATAATAGTAGGGTACTTATTTGAACTAGTATATAGACCCAAATAAATGTCAATATGTGTGACCATATATGCATACAAATGTAACTGTTAGTGTACCAGGCTACATTTATGTAGCTGTGTTAATAAAATATTATCACAATCAATTGGGAACTGTAAAATAAATTGAATATTTCTTCCTTAGTAAAGGTCCTACTACTTCTACTGTCATTGTGGAAGTTATATGTGGTACACATGTATATAGTAATTTATATAAAAATAGAAAGCATGTTGGTAAAAACAATGCAGCGTTATATAAACTACAAAATTACCTTCCCCTTCCGCAGAGAGTAAGAAACATGGTTCAGTCTGTTCTAAAAGAAAGTGTAGGCGTTTACACTGTAAAGCCGGTCATCATCCAAAAACTGTAAAAACCCAAAACAAGAGAGCAAAACAAGGGACGTAATTTTGTTGAAATTGAAAGTAGGGGAGAAGTTATTATTCTCCAGAAGAGCCAATTAATTAGGTTACTTCATTTGTGAGAGTTAATGAACCCAATAAATTTCACTTTTATTAATGATGTTCAATAAAAGTGATTATGTCAGATTTTTATATTTTTGCAGAACAAATGACGGTTTTGATTGTATGTATTAGCAGCAGGTGCCCGTCTCCCCTGTAAATTTCCCGTCGTTGTCATTGGCTACAACCTAACATCATGGCTGCCATCAATCTGTGATGAGTTTGACAATAATGCTCATATCCGGATTTTAATCCAAACAAAGGCGATAAAGTAAGTTATTCCGTTTTCTAAGTAATCCATTGTGTATTTTTCTAGCGTTGTCTTTTTAACACATGTTTATTGTAAAATACCATGTGTTTTGGGGTTTTATTCCAGTTCAAATTGTGATGTGATATTGTTTACTCCAGTACGGTTTGATACATGTATACATACTATTCTGTAGATATAAATATGTACCTTCTGTCACAGAAGGTATTATATGATCTCGTGTATATTCTGGGTTGAACACTTCGACAATTAATTAGCGATATGTATGATTACAGTCCGTACGGATGTTTGGAGTTCACTGACCGAGACCCAGCTGACTGTTACAGTGATGAAACAGCTTGTTACTGGTCTATAGAGAGTATTTGGGTTCCTGGTTGTTTCTCCCGAAATCCCGTTCGCCCTAGGTTGTCTCGCACTAAAACAAAAATATTAGGGCGAAATATTGTATGGTATTTTCTTTCAATTTTAGTAGTTTTAAGTCACAAATTAAGTCTTCTTGGTCTTCGATTTCCATATCATTAAAATCAATTTAATAGAAAAAATGTTTTTGTCTTATTTTTAAGGTGAAAAGCTGACTGCGCTCTCACATACTTACATGAAATATACCTCACACCAATGCAGAAAGTCATCAATAAGTTTAGTTGATCCATTTAAATTAAAAAAATAATATTTAGGGCGAAACAACCTAGGGCGAACAGGATTTAGGGCAACATAACCTGTTATCGAGTACTTGACTATCGCATTTAACTGATTTTGAAAATCATGATCTACTGACCTATGTTTTATTATAATTAAATGTTTGCATTTTATTTAACCCTGACATAAAATCTATTGGCCTGTTAGAAATGTTTACTCTAACACAAACTACATATAGTTTGCAAAAATAAAGCATAGACTTTATTGAAGAATGTTCCACTTGGTTTCTTAAAAGCTTATACACTTTAGACTTCTTTGAAAAGCATTCCTTTAAAATCTTTGAAAAGTTTATTGGTCCGTTTGAAAGCAAGATGGGCTTTTTTTTAAAAGATCTTTAAGACATGTTCATCACATTTTTGTAAGCAACAATCATATACCAGGTATAGTAGTTAGGTAGGTCAAACATGATATAGACATGAACAGGTGTTAATAAACTTTTCGTAGGTATTTTGATTTGCTATGTCCACACCTATCACATCTTTTTGCAGAAAATATGGATAAAGAGTCCAAAAAGCGGGGGAGGCGATCTCAAGTTGGTCCAACAGAGGGAGGAAATACATCTTTTGAACTGGATTTAGCTTCAGACAAAACTCCACAACATCATACTAACAGGTATTGAACTCTTTACTTTCCCATCGCCTTAATAACTCTAAAGTATTCCTATAATGTACAAAAAAAAGAAGGAGAGTTAATCAGATGATCAGGAAAGTTTAGTCAAAGGCAGATAATGGTTAAAAGATGTTTGCTGTCGTCACTGTACGCTACATTATAGTTTTGAAGTTTTAAATTTGTGATTCAGTTTATTACAAGTCATAGCATAGATCTGTGAACAACTCTTTGTGAATACCAAGATATTTTCACACTTCGTAAAATCATAAAAACCATACTTTCATACTTTCTACAGTCCATTATTCAAATTATCAACCATTATCATAATGTATTTACTACCTATATATCTTTACTTACAATCCTTTTTCACAGCTACAGTACAAATACACATAATTCTATGCTTCTGGAAAGATCATAAATTTTTTAATATCAAAACTTTTATCTTTAACATTCCTATAAATAATCTCCATTTCTAGCTGTACGTTATAACTGTCCCAACAAGCATGATTTAGACTAGGTGGCTGTTACCTTGATCTTATTACAGAGTTTCCTGCAGTGTTTTAAATTGCTCTAGTACCATTGTAAATTATCTGTAAACAAAGGTTGATTGAGCCTCGTAATGATAATGTAAGCGGAACTGGCAAGTACATAAATATAAGTAAATTTAATATGTTGGATGAAATTGTTTTCAAAGTCAAGGTTGTGAAAATTTAAAGGGGCAAAAGTGAGTTTGCAGTACATGCATAATCCAATAGAAACACAGTACTTGTGAATTAGTTATGCAACACAACACCGAACATGAGTGTTCACAAAAAGGAGAGGAGGTAATTTCAAAGTTATCATTATTTATCTCATCTTCATGATGTACATTAAGTTATATATAAAATGAGCTGGAGTACGAGTGGGTTTAAAATAAGTAAAGGAAAAATTGGCAGATTCTTGTATAGTAATTCACAGATCTAGAGAGTTTAAGCATTATTGATCAGTAGAAGCTTTATAAACATGATATTGTATGCAGTGTAATGAGAGTGACACACTTCAGATGTAGTATCACAAACGCATTGCATTAGCTGCTTAATGGGCAATGTGAAATGTGTTTATTTACTTTTTTTGTTTCACCGCCTAAACAATGAGATAAAATTGTGCACATACCTTCATTTCTCAGTGTGGACCCCCCTGTAACATTGTAAGTAAATTGTTTGTAACTTTGTTATTTGTATGTAAATGCTATGATGTTGGCTCATATTGATGAAAATAAGTAAATAATATTAGGAGTTCCCTAATAGAATGGTATCAGTGAAAATAAGCTAACAATATCATGTTATTTGGATTTTAGAGCTCACTTAATCAAGGGCCTTATCTATAAAATAATCTTTGATAGCCAAGAAGTTGACTAAGTTTCAGATATTATATATTCTAAATGTCTTTAATTTATGCATGTGCCAATAGATAGAGAAAACTTCCTGTTTGTTCAGATCCTAGAAAAGTCATTTTGAATACCTATAGCATAGTCAATTTTATACATATTGTATTAAATTTAGATTTAGTTTTGTTTAGTGACTTTTTATAGATGAAATTTTAGATAGATTTTTGTATCCTGCCTTGCAAAATGTATTAAAAAATCTACTCTTTTTGCAATAATAAACACTCAATATAATATATACCACAATTCTGTAAAAAGTTCACTTGTTATAGAATATAAACATGAAGTCTACTCCCTCACAATACCAATAAGTTATTGAGGTGAACCCCCTCATAGTGCCGAGACCTTCTTCCTTATTGTGCCAAGTTAACAAGGTCTACTCCCTCATAGTTTATGAGTTCTTCACTCTTTAATAGTGCCAAGTAAATGTGAGTTCCTAGTTAACCAGGTCTGCTCCTTCATAGGGCCATGTTAGCGAGGTGTACTTTCTTATCATGTCTATAGTTTACATGGTCAATTTCTTCATAATGCCATGTTAACCCATTCACCTCTAAAGTCACATTTGAACCTTACACAATGCAAGTCCAGTTTAAACATGTAGGGGTGAATGAGTTCATGAGGTGTAATGCCTCAATTATTTCCTAGTAAATATTTTAGTGTTTATTGTGACACTAAAAGTATAATCTCCGAAATAATTAAGTTAATTGTTAAACACTTTTGCAAGTATATGTTTTATTTTAGCGAGCTTTCTTACTTTATTTTGAAGTGGCTTAACTAACAATATATCAGTTTGCCCACTTTTTTAGCAGGACTTTTTGTGAATTAAATTCATGATGTTATAATATGCATGCATTTTCAAATGATGCCCAGCTGCTTCATTTGGTTTGCTAGTCTTTAATCAATTTTACACCATGCATGCTGTGGGGCAGCATCTGGCGTCTATCCATTGTCTGTCCATTGTCCGTCCAGATATTGATGACAAGGTAAACATGTACGGCTGTACAAGGCTAGCCCTTGGGTTCTAATTTTCACAATTTTTGAGGAAACAACTTTTAATAGCAAGCTTAACAAAAAAAAAAATTCGTAGCAGATTGTGTTCTGAAATCTGTGAAAAATAGATCCTTCATAAAAAAAAAATCCTGACCATTTCGGCAAATCTGCGACAATTATGGACAGAGAAAATGTTTAATTATGGTTAACCTCTATTGTAGATTGTACATGTTCCTTGGTTTCATAAACAAGGTGTGGCTCAATGTGCTTTTCTCTGCTAGAAAGAGAAAGTGGATTTTACCTTGGAACATTTATCACATATAGAGTAGTACTTAGTTGCTTTTATTTTGCTTAATTTTGACAGACGATTGTTTTAAGACATCCTGATCACATGATGTTGGATATTTCTGGAAAAGTTCTTTGTTTGATTGCATGTGTCTAAAGTATTATTCACATATTTTTCATTAATTTCAGCATTCATTAAATGGAATATATTCTGAGTGAAGAAATTCACGTGCAATACAACAGCATCATTATTTCATTCACTATCTTCTTAATTTATGGATGCATTTGTTCTATTTTTTCCCCTTCATCATGCTATTGGTCTTGACAGCTTATGTTTGTTAGGTAATATCTATGTACAATTTATCAATTTGTTTGTAATAAAGATATTATTGCAGTTGGCTCAGCTGTAAGCATTACGTTTGTATTAATAATGTTGACCTGATCATTGTTGATGTTGATACTTTCTCCTCTGGAAAGTTGTATGACATAAATACAAATTTTGACCAACAAAATTAAATGAAAATAGTATATCATTCCCTGAGACTTGGTTATCGTATAGAGAAACCTCCTTCCAGACTGTTGGACTCCAATTTAGTAAGATGATATTTTGTTTTTTTGAAAATATTTATATATTGTATTAACATTTCATAGCTAGTTGCATTTCATCAAAGTTATCTATCAAAATGAGGTAAAATACCCAACAAATTAAAATGAAATATTCTTCCCTGATTGAACGGTTTAAATGTATTTGAAAATGTTCTAAAACAAGGGAGTTGATTTATGAGAATGAGAATAGCTGTATTTGTTTGGCTGTGAAATATTCACAGTTTGGGTTTTTCAAACTGTTTATCTGATACAATTGTTTGTAATAAACCTGTAGGCTAGAGCAAACTTTATCAACTTTTACAATTACCAGGAAATTTGGGGAAATATTATAAAGTAAACGTATGGACTTGGGGGGATATAGCAAGTTTCTGGTTCCCCACTGTTTGTACAGTTTGTGTATATTGTATTTCCCAAGGCAAACTGCTGAGGGAGTTAGTTTGCAGGGATGTTTTTAGTTTTTGGACTAACATGCAGCCAATAATTAACTTACTTCCTGGATATCAAAGTCAAAGTCAAGGCAATAACAGGGATATAGTCCATTAAATAATTTACTTTTTTTGTAGAGTATGTAAAATAGATATATTTATACACTATGCATATACATTATGTAGGAACACTATTAAACTTGTATGAATGAAAAGCTGTTTTGTGCTTTTACATGCTTGCTTTTAAATGCCAGCTTTTACTTTTGTCACATATAAAATTGTTCTTGATATTGAAGAGTGAAATTATGATACAATTAATTTGCATGGAACATTCAGTGTTCCAAACTTCCATCATACTGTCACCATTGATACGGTTTATACTGTAATTCCAGCTCTCACTTAAGATAATGGCTGTGAATATTCATTTTTATTATTGGTTATGTTAAAGTAGTGACATCTCTCTATCTAGCATGCTATGGCGTTGTCCAAAAATTATTCATTTCTTGCTGTTTCACTTGGAAAACAGGTTTCTTTCTACAAACAAAACATCTGAGAAGTTTCTTGGAATCCTTAAGGACACATAAGAAATAAGACATCCCTGTAGCCATTCGTTACTGAGCTATCTCTGACTGTAACGCTAACTTATGATTGACATTACTGTAACTTAACAGAGGGTTGTATGTTTTTCAGTAAAGTACTAGACACCTTCAGAGACCATGTCAAAGAAACCAGTAAAAAGAGAAATGCTATCACAGCTATCGTGGATGCTAGGAGGAGTCTGTCCAAATGGCGATCTTATGTAACATCTAAACGAGTCAGGGAGCGCAAGAGTAAGTAAAATTTACCCATGTATATATAAATAAGCATATTGCAGGCAAGCCATCACTGATGTCCATAGTTGTGAAATCATACTTTGTTTTCATGATACATTTTACCTTCAAGCAATTAAAAAATGGCATTGAATAAAAAAATGTTTTGCGTTTGGAAGTATTTGGTTTTCATAAGTAATAAGTAAATTATCTTGATTCAAACAGACACAAACAGTTGTTATTAGTTCTAATTTCATAAAATAAGACTTTCTAGAGTAGACCCTGTAAATATTATTTTGTTTTAATCTAAGATTTTTGTTTTTGTTTTACCTAATTGAAACAAATGATATATCCTTATTGATGTTTTTTTTTTTTAAATACACCACAGGCATCTATTCTCCTTATCATCTTTTTCATAAAGAATACAATTTACATAAATTTTGTATGCATATATATTTTTGTAAACAATTTTGTATACATTATCCTGTATTGATTAAGAAAATTTTAAATATTAATTTTAAAAACAAATAACAGAATAAAAAGAATTAAATGAAATATTTCAGCTGAACTTTTGCCCAGAAAATGAAAAATAAAGTATTAATTATTTTCTTTGTTATGATTCATTTCTTCCCAATTACAGAAACAGGTCAGTAGATGTTTATCTGTATGAAATCAAATATTCTTTTCCAAATATTTATTCTCAAACTAACTGCCTTTTTTACATGATACATTGTACATAATTTGTTGTAAAGAATCCTATACGTAAAATATCTGTTTGCTTTTTTGTTTTTTTTGTTTTTGTGTATAATTTACTATGCCTGATTCATATACATTGTAAAACTGTCAAATGCTGTAATTGATTTAAAATAACCATTTTTATTTTATTTTATTAAGTATAACAGTGCCATATTCCCATACTAAATGAAATAAATGTTAGTTTTAGAACATGTTTTTTTACACTATCAAAATTGCTGAAATTAAATTGTTATTATTTCTGAAAAAATCAACAGAATTGGGTACTCACTGCTGTTTAGGGACGCATGATAATTTTAGTACAGGTTTTACTTTCATCTTGCTGTTACTGTTGTTGTATTTAAGAAATAAATAACATAGGTACACATGTATGTGTATTAAGGTGGAATGCTTAACAATGGTGAGAAAATGTTTGGAAAAATATATATAGCAAAGGTCACTTTGGCCTCAGGAAATTATTTTTCCAACACTTTCAAATTCAGAGTTATATATTCTACCATTACATGCAGATACATGTTGATTATATCTATTTTACCATGTCAAAATGTATTAGAATGTGCTTTCAATACAAAAAAAAAGTGCTTTCAATGTCTCAGCACCTATAAAGTAACTTAACTTTGATAATCCAATCAATTAATTTGGCCTTTTTTGGCACATGTAGGTAATTGTTACATTGTGCCCCATTTGAATTTCACCAACAATTTGCGGGCAGTTCATTCCTTAGTTCCTAGGCTCTACACAGCCAGTCTATTCTGTCAGCTTCACATAGGTTTATGCAGAATGTACCTGCAATCAATAGAGCAAATTTGTCCATGACCAGCTACAAAAAAACTGATTTGGCTACATTTGGATTGTGGGGGATGCTTTCAAAAGAGAGTTGTTCATGCATGGTTAAATGGGTACAAACAGGACATGAATGCACATGTCTGTTGCCCAATAATGCATGATATTTAACAATGAAAAGAGCTGTTACATTGCTGACATGGTAGAATAACTTGTAACTTAGTGCTTCAAAAATATACCCAGATATTGTAAGTTCCAGCTTTACAAATATATGCATTTGTTTAACACTTCATGAAAAGTGCAACTCTTTTCATTATACCTGTTTGAAATATACCTCCTACAACGTTAACAGTGACTGTCCAAGTCCTTCAAGTCCTGAGGACAGTTACTGTATACACTGTACCATTTGGACAAAATGTTTGGCCACATTCTGGGATTATGTGTCATAAGATCTATGCTTAAACTGCTTCCTATTTTTACTGCAATGTCTCAATATTGTTTTATGCAAATAACCAAACTATTGTTCTTCATGTGTCATAAAGTTAATTGCAACACATCCAAATTTCAATATTGAAATTTCCTATGTACAGCAAAAAAAAACACTCTGCCTTATTAGTTACAATAGTAGCCATTGATACAACTCAACCATGACAATGGTATAATGTGCCAGTTACCATAGTAACTGTCGATACATCTTAACCATGGCAATGGTATGATATACCAGTTACCATAGCAATGGTTTAATTATGAAGAACTTTACTTTTTATTAATGTTTGTACCGCTTTATTTGTTGTTGGCAGATCATTCGTTGGGTAGGTACTAATTGTAACTTCCACATTTAGACACTGTAACGTGTTTGTACCTCTTGTTCAGTGGTAAACCAAGGAAAGGTTGTAAGTGAAGGCTAGAGGAAGATGTCAGGAGGAGGAGTGTCTTTAGATCAGTTTGTTCCTGGCCATAAATAACATTAATTACATGTTATTTAGACAGATATCCCTCCGTCCCTTCCTTCCTTTCCTTGGATTCACCAGTTTTTTGTGTTATAGAACAGCTATCATAGTCTCTTTAGATCTTAAGCTCTGTCTCTTGTTGTTGTTAGAACTAAGGAATTTTGAAGCCAGTTTCAAGTATTTTTGGCGATATGAAATCAGTGAATTTTTTTAATGAATAGAATATGTAATTGACATTGAAACATTGTATTTCTTCACAAAAAGATCTATGGAAGAGATAATTTTATCTTCTGATTTCATTTTCTGATAGATGATACTTATGTCAAAATGATTTGGAAATTAGGTGGAATACAACTTGGTCTTCAAGAAATTTTTAATGTGAAATTTAGTTGGATCCCATATCAGTAATTATGGATTCTCTCGATGTCCTGGAGAAATCTTTTCCCTATTAGCCTAATTATATATATCATATCTATATTGGATCACTCTAAATTTCTTAATCACCTCTGTGTAACTTTATTTCTACAGCTGTAAATGATCCTTTCCTGTGTACAGATGGCATGCTTTGATTGGCTATTCTCCCTTCCATGTATTTTGATTGGCTAGTATTTCTTTCCTGTAAATTGATGGCATTATTTGATTGGCTAATATTTCTTTCCTGTATTTGTATGGCATTATTTGATTGGTTATTATTTCTCCTGTATTTTGATAGCATTATTTGATTGGCTAGTATTTCCTTCCTGTATTTAGGTGACATTTTTTGATTGGCTAGTGTTTCTTTTCTTAAGTTCTTCTATATATATGGCATTATTTGATATGCTAAACTCTTGATCATTTATTTGGATGCCATTGTGTGATTGACTTGATTTATACGATTGGTGAACATAATATGATGGTTAACTGAACACGAAACTTGAAACATTCACATTGATTTAAAGTCTAGTTGAGCATGCAGTGATGGAATGATAGATGTGATTTTTTTTGTTTTCACTGTAAAACATGGATAAATTATGTACCAATACATTTTACAAAAGAAAATCTTTTTATTACAATTATTGAACCTCATACCTTTAAATGATTCAATGATAACCTTATACTTCTAACTAGAATGTCAGTTTGCAAACAGTTGTAGTGTTAGAAAAATAATTTCGCAAAAACTATATATTTTTTATTAAAATTCATGAAGGTCCCCCAGCTTGGTATGTTTGCCTCTTACTTAGAACAGTCACAGTAAATTACTAGATGGCAAATTAAAAAACCCATTATTATTACCTTCGTAAAGCTATGAAATGCATGTAGTACCAACACTACTCTGATTCGATGTGTAATTCTGTTCCTAATGCTAGGTTCCCTCTTTCTCAATTCGCGGCACAATTGTAATTGTGGTCTTAGTCGTGGACTAAACATGGTGATCCTATCAGATCTTATCAGATCTTGAGGTCAGTCGTGGCAATCATGTTAATCGTAGAAACTTTTTGAACGGGATCGATCTTAGACAAGACAAACACCACGCTCAGTTGAGATGTGTTGCGATCTCCCACGATCTGTTACGCTCTGTCGGGTCCCATTGCTCAAGACCTGACACGAATGACTCATTAGCAGAGAGGAGTTGATACAAAAGATGCGAGTAAATGCGAGTAGATACAAGTACCTGTATAGTTACAATTTTACATGAACGCTCACGATCTGTTACGAGTTCTCGTGCCCATATTATACCTGACAAGATGTGTTGCGATCTCCCACGATCTGTTACGCTCTGTCGGGTCCCATTGCTCAAGACCTGACACGAATGACTCATTAGCAGAGAGGAGTTGATACAAAAGATGCGAGTAAATGCGAGTAGATACAAGTACCCGTATAGTTACGATTTTACATGAACGCTCACGATCTGTTACGAGTTCTCGTGCCCATATTATACCTGACAAGATTTAATGCGTCTCATTTAGTGATCTTCTCTTGAATAGAGCACATATTAGTAACCTGCCTTTGCTAGTTATTTTTCACTCTGTAAAAGTTCAAGATACGTAATGAAGTTCATGGGCTGTAGTTCATGGGCTGTATACATGTATATACCCGTCAGGGTCCAGTCATAGCTCAAATCACCCTCGATCATGATCGTGAATGACATTCGGCACCACAATCGTATCCTATCTTAACGGAGCCCATTAGTTTGTTGTGAGCGTATCGGAACATATCTGCACGTACCAGATAGTCCCAATACGGGGAACCCGATCATGACGATCGTGTCAAATCGAGACCCAATCGTGGACTCGACCAAAACAATCCTATCGGAACGTATTTGATGGTGACACCTGAAATTGACAAATCATGATCATTAAAAATTAAACTGATTAAAAATCAATACATACCTTCTGATTAAGCATTTTGAAATAATGAAGAATTTAGGTTACAATCCACTTTGCTTACCAGATAAGTGTTTTAGTTGGTACAAAATGAAATCTTATTGGAAACTCTTTCATGATTCTTAAAATTCAGTTTTAGCTTTAATTACTTCTTGTTTTGTGTTCTTGGATACCTTTCTATATAAGAAAATTCTTCCATGACTGATCCCGTTTTGTGGCATCATAGACCCAATATGAGTGTAACATTTAGAAATGGTCTCTTTACATGTAACTCTCCTCTTAAATCAGTCTTTAGAGGATACAGAGGATTTGTACCATCTTAAAATAGCTGAAAACTGTTTCCATCTGTGGATTTTATATAACATGACTACCCGTTAATTGAGACAGACAAAAATATATACATGTATTACTTTAATGCTGGATAAAGGCCCCATTTCACCATTATGGTAAAGTAAATCCCCAACCGCACCCTTAAAAACAGGTCATACATGTATTGCTGTAAGTTTGTTTCTGTTAAGTGTGATTTGTAAGTTTAATTACGTTTGAAATGTCCAGGGTTGGCAGGTATGCGTTTCTAATATGAAAATGTTACAAAACAATTGAGATTAATTAACAAGACTCCACAGGAGTCTGTTACGTTAAAAAATCGTCTCTAAATCACCTCTTCAAACAGCTTTTATATGGAACAGAATTTTACCTTGTATATGTTAGACTACCTGTATAATGATATGTTGTGCTTGACTCGTTTTATTATAGATAACTTTGGTAAGTGGGTTACCCTCCTTCCCCCCAAATTTCCTTGAGTGATTGTTTACACACACCTTCTCACAATGGCAGTAGCAGTACTATTAGAATGACCTTATCATGACCAGAAATCTGTACAGTTGGACTTTGTTATAGCAGTTAGAATGGAATACTGTATAATCTGGGGGAAATTAACGTACCCTGACCTTTAACTTAGTCTCAATGTATACATCTTATTCAATCATAATGACAATTGAACCTGTGAAATAAAAAAATGTTTAATCCGAACAGAAGCATTCGGTCTATTCTATTGAGTCTTGTGGACTTGCATTTGGTGATCATTTATGAATAGTTAATACTGTTTTAATTTCACATTTTGTACATCCTGCATTTTGTTGCTCTCCCCAGGTCATTTCAGGGAGTGTTAGGGGTTGGGGTTAGGGAATTGTTTCAGAAAACTCCAGTAGAAGGGGGTTGGGGTGGGAAGCAGTCATTTCAGGAAAAACTTTCAGGGGAAGCAGGAATTATTCCAGGAACAACTACAATGGATGGAACGGAAAGTTGTTCCTGGAAGGACTCTAGGGGAAGGAAGGGGGG